GAAGAAGATTGGTGGGGGGCATGAGGCTGGTGGATTGTATTACCTTGACGGTGGTGGATCGTCAGTTGCACTTCAGACTTCACTCACTCCTCTACAGTGGCATTGTCGGCTGGGACATTCATCTCTCAAGGCACTCAAGATACCGGTTCCATCTTTGAGTCATTTGTTGTCTTTACAGTGTGAGTCGTGTTAGTATGGGAAACATTGTCGGGTTCCCTTCAGTCCTAGAGTTGATAGTTGTATGTTGAGTCCTTTTTCTTTGGTTCATTCAGATGTTTGGGGTCCGATTAAAATAGTCTTATAATGGTTGCAAGTATTTTGTCACTTTTATTCATGATTGTTCAAGGATGACATGGATTTATTTAATGAAAGAAATGAGTGAATTATTTTCCATTTTTCAAAAATTCCATGCTGAAATACATACACAATTTGGTGTTCCAATCAAAGTTTTTCGTTCAGTAAACGGTCGTGAATACTTTCTTACTTCCTTTCAATAGTATTTAGAATAGCATGGCATCATTCATCAAACTTCATGTGCATCCACTCCTCAACAAAATGGGGTGGCAGAACGAAAGAACTGTCATCTTGAAACTGCTCGGTCTATTCTTCATTATATGAGTGTTTCTAAACGATTTTGGAGTGATGTTGTACTTACTGCGTGTTTTCTTATTAATCGGATGCCCTCCTTCATTCTTCATGGTCGGTCTCCCTTTTCTATTTTGTTCCCCACCTTGTCTCCCTTTCCATTAACATCCCGCATCTTTGGCTGTGTGTGCTTTGTTCACAATCTGAGGCCTAGGATAGACAAGCTAGACGCACACTCTATTAAGTGTGTCTTTCTTGGCTACTCTCGGAGTCAAAAAGGGTACAAGTGTTACAATCCATTAATTGGAAGTGCTATGTCTGTCCTGATGTCACCTTTTTTGAGTCTGTTCCCTTCTTTTCAGGACCTGAAGCATCGATGTCTCCACCTTTGCTTCCTTTTCCTCTTCCAGTCAGTGATCCCATTCCGGGTGTTCTAGTTGGGGTTGACCCTTCACCTCCTCCAATGCAGATCCCTACTGAATGACCATCGATCCGGCACGTGTATAATCATCGACAGACACCGGCTCCTCCTCCAGCTTCTACCTTGTCTATGGATCTTGTTGTTGCTCTTGTCCCAGAACCTTCAGGACTTGTGTTGAGCAAGAGCAAGTGAAGAGAGGAGAGGAGAAGAGAGAAGAGAG